TGGTTAGGTTAATAAAATTTTTCTTTTTTTTCATGTTTCTTTGTTCAATTATTTCCGATGATCTGCAAGTGTCCTTATATTTATGATAGAAATTTGGCAAATAATTATATGATTTATAGTTTATTAATATTAACATATTTAATATTAAAAAAATTGGGATTTCACGTAAATTGGTAATCAAAACCAATTCCCGTTCGACAATATTAATGTTATCAGCAGTAATGTAAAATTTATTTATTTGAATTTAGTTGCTAATTTTGTTACAAATAATCCTGTTATGATCATCTTGACAATAGTTATTGGTAGTTGAATGCTTAATAATAATATATATATATTGTATGCGTATTAATCTTTTTTTTTTCTTTATTAAAAAATAAAATAAAACATACTCATTTTTTTTTAAAAAAAGCCATCATTCTACAACTCTGTCTTATAAAAATAATCCTTTACCAAAGAAACGAAAAAAAAATAAATTATAAAAAAATTTATTATATAAAGATGATTTATGACGCCTTTTCACTTCTCATTCCTATGATTCATCAGGAAATTTTCCCCACCGTAATATTATGTCCATAAATTTCAATATGTAAAGTTGTAATATTTGCATAAAAAATTATGTAATATTTACACTCAATGTAATAATTGCATAATTTTTGTATGATTTTTGCAAAATATTATGGGGCCTGCCGCAAACTTACATAAATAGTGTAATAATTATATAAATCCGCATCAGAAAAAATTCCCTGATGAACCAATTTTCAACCAATTATCTTCATCTTTTTGATCATTTGAGCCCAAACATTAGATTAAAATAGGAATAGAGATACTGACGACGTTGGTATCATTATTGTGTGTTGCTTGGGGGGATGGCTGGCTGGTTTTGAGAGATGTCATTTACAATACACAAGATTGGGATCAATCCTTGAGCAATTTAAATTTTTCTTTGAATGCTTGGATATTTTTTAAAGATAATGATTCAATGACTTTAAGTGTGTCAGTGTCAATTGCTGATAACAATGTGATTGTGGCAATTCAATTACTGAAGAATTGTCATTGCTGTTGCCATTCTCATTGGACAAGCATTCTTTTTCATTTGAACTAAAATCAATACTTGAGCAATTTAAATCTTTCTTCGAGTAAGATGCTTTGAATTCTTCAATATTTTTTAGCGACAATAATACAATCGCTTGAAGTATGTCAGTATCAATTGCTGACAATAATGATTGGAATGATGAAGAATAGTCATTGCCATTACGCTCATTCTCATTGGACAAGTATTATGATTCGATTGTTTTTGAGTTCTTCAGTGTTGTTGGACGACGACGATGATTTGATTGCTTTAATTTTTTCACTATTTTCACATGATGATGATGATGATCCGATCGCCTCAAGTTTTCAGTATTTTCAGACAACAATGGTGATTTAATCGCTTCAATTTTTTCAGTGTTATCAGATGACGATAGTTTGAATGATTGAATTGATTTGATAAATCGAAGCATATTGGCGTTGATTGTAGATAAAAATGATGATAGTGAAAAAAATTTGTTATCATGCTGTTCAATTACAGCAATATTATCGGTAGCAATTCCTGGTTCAAGTTGTGTATCTTGCATTGTCATCAAAATACTTTCTTGATTTTGCTCATCATTGATTTTATTTTTAATAATTTCAGTGTTGTCAAATGATGATGATGATTCGATTGCTTGGATTGATTCGATAACTTGAAGCATATTGGTTGTAGATAAAAATGATAATAGTGACAACAATTCTTTATCATGCTGTTTAATCACAGCAACATTATCGGTAATGATTTCAGGTTTCACCATCGACTTCAGTTTTGTAATCTAAGCCAACATCATAATTTGATTCATCATCTAAGCCAACATCACAATTTAGCTCAGATGTCAAATCAGATTGTGATATTAACTTGGATGACGAATCAAATTATGATGTTGGTCTCTCAACTATAAATCAACAAGAATAGAACTGTCAAGAGTGTTGATTTCGGATAAAGATGGTAATTATTCATCAACTTGTGGGTATAGCAACTCCATTAAAACAGTTACCAAATATCAAGAAGAATGACAATGTTAGCTGTTGTAAACATAACAGTTATGTTGATTTCAACTTTTTTTTTTTTGTAAAAGGTGTAAAAACGTGTTTGTTTATTTAAAAAGTTTTCTTTTAGAAAAAAGGTTTTGATGAAAATTTTTTAAGAAAAGTTTTTTTAAAGTTTATGAGAGGTTTTCATGAGAGTTTTATAAGGTAAAATTCATGGGAGATTTTTTTTGGGAAAAAAAAGATGTGTTTATCAATTATATCGATCAATTATCGGACAATTGGTATTGAAACAAATTTAATACATTAGGTTAAAATAAGACCAGAACAAACATGTAAAATCTTAGATGCAGTGACTAACTTAATGTAATTGATGATACTTTGTTGTAATATAGTAATAAGGGATTATTGATCAATTATCAACATATTAGGTTATAACAATAACAAAAATGTGACTAATTTAATGTGACAATTTTTGTTAATTTACCCATAAATATAAAGGATTTTTCCCACGATGAACTCTCTTCAGTTATAATTTGCCCATCATTGCATTACAATGACAATTATTACTGTTTTTATACAACAATTAAAGAAAAATCTACATGAGAGTAAAAAAAAATAATGCTACTTACTACTTTAACCCGTCCATTATTTTTAATTCCTTCGTCAGTATCACTTTACGTATTTCTGAACGAAATGTTTTATAATTTTCCTACTAGATAAAAATGCTTGATATTTCCACGGGTTTATAATGTCATTATATAAAATTAAGGAAAATAATATTTACCTTTCGGTCATTAATATTAATTAGTCAATTTAATTATCAATTTCGTCAAGTATGACAAGTCAAAGAAAAAGATATTTTGTCAATGCGTGATATTTTTTTCTCACATTTATAAAAATTAAAAAATGTTTCAAAAAATGTTTCAATATAATTAATTATATTACTACCAACATCATAATTACAATATTTACTACATTTAACACGGTTTATTTATAAATTTATCTCTTAAACGGTCAAAGTAGTATTCTTTAATGGTAACACAAAATGATTTTTTGATCACGACCTTGCATCCTTATTGGCCAATTTAACGATATGTAAAGTAAAAATAGTCAATCGACCAACTTTTAAGGAAGATTTTACAAAAACCACAAGGACAACAACCGAATTTTTATTCACAGTTCAATCAGCTAAATCTCAAAGATCATTTTCGTATTAGGAAGTGGTACCTTCAGAAAAAGTTTTTTATAACAGGAAAAAAAAATTTCTGCTATCAATAGCCGAAAAACCGTTTAAGGGATTTATGCATTTGTTACACGATTCTAAAATTGCATATTAATATAGGGCTGGGAAAACACTATGATTCGAAAGTACTTTAAAAAAAAGAATGTGACCGCCTCAGCATAGTGGAAATTTGAAATGTTACACTAATTTTTTATATTGTGCAACGTAGCTTTAAAATACACGGCAAACATTCTGGCAATAAAAAGTAAGTGATAAACTGGATTTGAATTTGATCCGAACTTGATCTCCAATTTAGAGAGGTAACAACTATACACTGGCGAAGTTTCAGAAGCAATGAGTTCTTTACAACGTTTAGTATAACAACAAACTTCCACTATGCTCGTGTACACCATCAATTATTTATCCTATTGGTTTTTTTTCTGGGAGGACAGACATGTATTGAATTTTTTTTTTTTGGAAAAACAATTTATTTTTTGAGAGAGTCCAAGGTGACAAAACATGGGTGTTGTTGTTTGGTTTGGTTTGGGTCTCCTAAAGAAATGTGTTAATAACTAACCAGAGGTACTTTTTTTTATTTGTATTGATATGTATGAGGTGTCTTTTATTTTAGTCTATAAATATTTTAATTAGAATCAAAACATGGAACAGATCTTGCTGGGTAATTACAAGATTTTCATTGATAATATTTTGCTTTGCGTAATCATAATAATAATACCATTATTAATATATAATCACAAGATATCAAGGCAGCATTGACTGTTGAAAAAGAAACAATTCAATATGCAATGTTTGATTATTGGAAATTTTATAGATGTTGAAGCATGCACACCACCTTGAACACATTTCAGTCAGGGAATAAGCTAAATATGGAAATAGATTCTGGAAAAATTGGAACCCGTTTTGTTGATCAATTCATATATATTACAAATGGTCTAATGTGATACTTCTGTATATGTTGAACAAAAAAATTTTTTTAATAAAACTCATATATAAAAGTTGAAACAAATTCTTCTGAATATATAACCCGAGGATCACTGCAAAATTTACAAGATATAAAAAGCTATTAGTTGAAGAAAATTTCATTTTTTTTTTTGTTATTTAAGTTCACATTCAAAGTTATTTTGTTAGAAACCTTATCATTTCTTGTAACTTTATACAAAAATTCTTAATAACCATAGGAATAAATAAAATAGAACTTCTAGTTTCTAAGATCTTTAATAGTAAGTTCTGGATCTCAAATGTATTGGTTTA